GCCTGGAATGCTCTTCCCACTGCTTGCCTCTTAGGCTAACTTCTGTTCAGTGATGCCAAACAAAGCCCTTTAAAAAAATTTTTTTTCTCTCATTCACATTTATTTTTTATTCTTTATTAAATTCACTGGAGTAACATTATAATGAGTTCTAGTAATAGCATTACATACATACTATATAACATTAATAACATTATATGGATTTCAGGTGTCCAGCTTTATACTACCTCTCTAAACTCTGCTGCGTGCTCCCCACCTGGAGTCTAGTCTCTCTCCATCACCTTGCATTGGGTCTCTTTTACCCTCTTTGTCCCTCCCCTCCCCCAAGATGTCACCTTCTCTCCCTGGTTCACCTGACAGGCCTTACAGATCTGCTCCTCTTGAGGACTTCATTTCTGTGTTTTATCTTTCTGCTGGTAAGTGTTATTTGTTTCTACTATGATATTTATACTTTATATTATACCAGTGTGTTTGCTGTGAGCTCCTTGAGCATGGGCACTGTGTCTTTCTCTGCTTTGAATTCCTAATTCCCAGCCCCAGAGAAGTTCTCACACACTGGCTGACTGAGGTCAGGCTGAGGTTGCCATGTTGGGAATGGAGAGAATATTCCAGCCTCAGGATCTACTCAGGAGTAGATCCTGAGAAAAGGGGGTCTCCTGCTCCTGCCAGGACTCAGGGTGGGGGAGAGAGGTAGAAAAGCGAGGCCCAAAGTCCCCACTCTTGGCATGAGAGGAGGGTTTTTTTAACCGTCCTTGGGTGCAGTGTGGCAAAGGGGAGGGATGAGGGGTTGAGTCAGGCCACCCCGGGCCCGTTTCACAGGATGTGTCGTGAACACATCATTCCACCCCTCTGGGCCTCAGTTTCCTCATGTGTGAAATGGGAACAACAATCACCACCTCCGGCGGGTGTTGGGAGGTTAGATGTAGGTGGAGCATTGGGCAGTGTGGGGCACCGAGGGACAGATGCTGGACTGCCTGGGAGGCTGAGGGAGGCGGCAGATCAGACAGGACAGCTACCTGCCTATAGTCACCCGGTAAGCTGGCCAAAGGCGGGGAACCTGCTCACCCTCGGTGAATAATTAGCATCTGTGTAACAGGGTGACCTAGCTCACGGGAGCTGTTCCCGCCAGCAGCTGTGTGTGGCGGCCTGGCTTAGAGAGGGAAGCATGAAGGACAGTGGGCCGACCAGTCTCGGTGAATTCCAGTGGGCATTCTCGGAGGGTGAGGTCACCACCTCGAACTCCCCGGGGCTGCCTGAGTCACAGGCACCACTAAGCCAGCTCCGGAGCAGGAGGGGGTGGGTGGTGGCAGGGCCAGGACACAGAGCCAAATGTAAGGCCCTCAGCCTGGCACAAGGACGGGCCCCTCCCATGGTGGGTGCTGTGGCCCTTATCTTGGGAAGCCTGGTGTTTCCTGTTTAAGATGTAGCTTGGAGTAGGGGGAAGCTTGGGGGAGGGGAAAGCGAGGTGATGGACAGTTCTTGAGCTCCCACTAGGTACCAGAGTCTTCTACTCACTTCGCCATCTCATCTGCACCATGATCTCATTTGGCAGTAATTGGTACTAACCCCAGTTTACAAACGGTGCAACCCAAGTTCAGACTGGTGCAAATCTTGCCCCAGAGGGAAAGCAGTGTAGCTCAGGGTAAGAACGCAAAGTCTGTGGGGCCAAACGCAACTGTGTTCTGATCTGAGCTCTGACAACTGCTAATGCCAACTGACAAGCTTCCTGGGCCTCAGTTTCCTCGTCTGTAAAATGGCGATAATAATAGTCCCTGCCGCTTGGGGCTGTGGTGAAACTTCAGCAAGATGACGCATGTAACATGTGCTTGGCCAATGCTAGCCATTTCACTGAGGTGACAACTGAGCCATAAAATGGCGAGGCAACTTGCCCAAAGCTAAGCCACTGGTGAGTGGCAAAGTCAGGACTTGAACCCAGGTCTGATGCTTCCTGCACACCCTTGTGGAGGGCCTGGTGGCGACCCTCAGCTTCCAAAGGGCTGTCAGGAGTTGCTGGGGAGGCGAGGCTCCTTGGAACAACCAGTGGCTGGATTTCCAATGGGGCCATGAAGCCAGCCCTGGGCCTGGGTCAGGGTCAGGGTCAGGGTCAGGGTCAGGGTCAGGGTCAGGGCCAGACCTCCAGGCAGCAGCCTGGACCTGGAAGCCTAGCTTGCCCCACAGCGTCCTTGCCAGCCACTGACTAGGCCCCAACATTGTTCTCTGGATCCTCCCAGCCCAGGGCCGGCACATTAGGGATTTCCGGAGGCCTGGCCAGAATTACCTTCACTTTCCGGAGCAGGAGCCGCTCTCCCCAGGCGGCTGAGGTGGGGACTGCCCTGGGCAGGGACTGCTGGGAAGGGCCCTGGCGGCAGCTCTGTCAACATCCCCTTGACTGGACTTTCCTGGACCCAGAGACTGCCCTCCTCGCTCACCTCTCCTAAGGCCGAGGGAAAAGGCTGTGACTCATTTTCATTTTGGGGCTGGCTGAAGCCGGGGCACTTGGCCTAAAGTCCCTTTCCCAAACACACTGCGACCTGGGCACGCCGTCCCCTTTCTGTGCCCCTTTGAAGGAGACTGGGAGATGCCGGCGCCCCCTTCAGGCCCTGCCATTGGCTCCGGGCCCGCAGCCGCTTGCCCTGCTGCCTCTGAGCATCAGCGTCCTGAGGGCCTGGTCAGTCTCCTCCTGTGTTCCGCGTGTTTAGAAGGAACTCACGGTAGTGACGACCATTCATTCATCTAAGTGATCCTGAGAACTGCCAGCGCTCTTCCATGATGCGCGTTCCTATCTGAAACTGGTCTCAGCCATCCCACTGACCTCACCCTGCGCTCAATCTGCTCATCTGTGAAGTGGGGAGAACTGCCTGGCAGGGGCGTGGCGGGGATGACAGCAGAGGACATCAGCTAGGGAGCCAGCACAGCACACTCAAGTTCCCATCCCCACCTCCTGCCCCCAGGCCAACTGGATAAACTCCGCATCAAGAGAATAAATACCCAGAAGCCACACCCCAGGACTGCTAGAGGCTGGGTGGGGAGCCTTCGGCAGCGACCCCTTTCCCGGGCTTTCAGCAGGTGTCTGTGCTTCAGAGGGTCTGAGGCTGGTCCCCCTGTCCACCAGCAGGACTGCCAGGCCCTGCAGCTGCACTGCCAACCCCTCTTCCCAGGCCCAGGAGCCCAAGGTGGCACCCACAGGGCAACGGTGGGCAGTGATGCAGAGCCAGCAGCGTCCGGTGAGTTCAGCGCCATGGAATTAGTCAAAGGGGATCACCCTGAGGATTCTGTACTCACGGCCAGTGACTCACGCCAGGAGCAGCCTCATGGGCAATGGCTGCCAACCTGGGAGGCCGCGGCCATCAGCTCACCTCGCACCAGCACACCTTTTAAGGAGAGGGAGCTTGGGGCAGCGCAGAGGCCCTGCCTCTGGCCCTGAGGCCTTTGCCAGGCCTCCTCCACACCCGCCCGGGGCAAAGGCCAGACCCCCACCAGGGTTCAAGGCTGGCATCGTCCCTTTTTAGATGTGACCTTGGGCAAGTGAATTTCTCTGAACCAGTTTCTTCACCTGTATATAGAAATGACGCTTGCCTCACAAGAGAGGAATTGGATGAAGTAATGTGTGTGGAAACTGCTTGGCAAAGGGCACCTTTTAAGGAGTGGCAGTGGGGTACAGTGGAAAGGGCCCGGGATCAGGAGCCAGGTACCTGGCTCTGAATTCTGGCCCCACCCCTCACCCTCTGGGTGTCTGAAAGCTTGGCATCAGTGCTTCTGTGTAAAATGAGCTGACACTACCTGCCTCATCAGCTGGCTTTGGGATTGAGATCCTACATACACTACATTTTATAAGCCGACGGGGGAGGGGCCACCCTGCCTGGCCTTGAACCCCAGCCCAGGTACCTGTGGGCTTCGTGGTCCTGGACAAGGTCCTCATGCTCTCAGAGTGGCTTTCATGTGTAAAAGGGACCACTGATGATAAGGCTCACCTAGTGGGGCTGCGGGGGTGAGGTGCGTAGAGAAGTGCCCGGCACCCAGGAAGCGCTGAGCACAGGCTGTTCTTTCACCTGACACGTGGCTCTTTCTCCACTGAGGCCAGTTGCCGGTCTATTTCCCCTTCACAGCTTTGAGATCCCAGGCCTGCGGTCTTTCAGAGGCCACAAGCCCCACTTCTGAGGCAACCCCGCTCTCCTGATTGTCACAGCAGTCCTCCCAAGACGGTCCTTGGGCAGACCCCTCAAAGACCCCAGAGTAACTCAGGTCGTTCCAATAGGAACAGGCAAACCACTGAGAACTATGCACCCAGCAGTGGACATAGCACCCCTGGGCCAAGGGGAAGGGGGCCAGGATACCCTTGCTGTCAAGTACCCATGGCTCCCGGGAATCTGGCACCTGAGACAAAGGCAGCTCAACCCCAGGAGGGAGATAGAGGGCAGGCCTCTCAGCTGGCAAGCCTGGTCTGCCTGGCCCCTCCTCTGTGGGCCAAGGGGAGCTGGGAACAAGCAGAGAGCCTGGCATCAAGGCTGAGGGGTTCCTGCAGCACGGACAGCGGGCTGGCCCTCAGGGGCCAGGCTGCACGCTGGAGTTGCTATGTGCCAGTCAGCTGCAACAGCCCAGGCTTGAGAGGCAACCATGCCTGGGTAGAGACCCTGGCTGTGGCCCATGAGCCTCAAGTGTCCTCATCTGTGTAATGGGGACAGTGAACACATTCTTGCCTTGTATGAAGGTGTCCCTAGAACAGTGGCCATCTCTGACCAGTGTTAGTAACAAGGGCTGGTCAAGGGCAAGTGGGTGGTGGGAAGTCAGAGAAATGGGGAGAGCAGCCTAGCCTGGGAAGGGTTCACAAGTGCTCCCAGAGCCCAGACAGATGGAAGCTGTCAATAGTGCAAACCTGTTTTATTGTTCATAGCCCTTGTGCCTGGGAGGGAGGGGAGAAGGGAGGTGGCTCTCTGAGGGTGGGAGTGGCTGTGGAGTAATTTATGTGGGGCCCAGGGTCTGTTCACAGCAGGAGGTAGAAGGGATCACATAAAGTTCTTTATTATAGACCTACAAAACATGAGAGAATTATATATTACTCTCACTTGTTTGGGTTTCTTTTTACAAAACAGCAGGAAAGAAAAATGCAGGAGGTGGATGAGCCAGGCACCAGGGTTGGGATCAGAGGGGAGGGGGAGATGAGAGACCAAGCTGTCACTGCTGGGATAGCAATGGAGGGCTGGCCCGGGGCTCTCTCCAAGCATCTCAAGACTGTGACAGCCCGAGAGGAAGCAGACACAGGGAGAGTGGGTGGGAAGACAGCTGTCCCAAGATCAGCAGCAGCACCACTCCTCTGCGGCCACCCTGGCAGTCAGCCGGGCTGGAAGCACTGGAGGATCCGAGCTTGGAGGCCTGGCCTCCAAACACGGGCCCTCGGGGGCCAGACAGGAGGGAGGTGGGGAGGGCCCGCCCAGGACTGAGTTCTCCCGGGCGGCGGGCAAGAGCAACCAGGGCCTGTCCTGCCTGTCAGCCAATCAGCTTCTTCAGGAAGGCCTCCAGCTGGTCCTCGTCCTTGACGCCCACGAACTTGTCCACCACATCCCCATTCTTGATGGCCAGCACGGTGGGCACCGCCGACACCTGGATGGCAGGATAAGGGAGATTAAGTCATTCCGAGGTGACATGAGCTCTTCAATCACCGTTCCCAAGCCCTTGTGGGGGAGGCTGGAGGCTTCTGCAGGGGTGACTGCCCACAGCCATGGGCGGGCCCTCTTCTCTTGCTGCAGGGGTGCTGCTGGGGTGCTGCAGGCCTGGAGTTCTACCCCCCCTCCCCCCCTGGAGAGACTTTTCCACTGTGGGCTCCCAGAAGTACCCTTCCCCCCCAACCGCATGACTGACTCACTGGCCCAGTGGTTTGGCTAGAATGACAGGAGATGAAAATAACCCATGCAGCTGCAGGCCGGCCGGGGGCAGGGTGGAGCTGGGGGGCTAAAGAACTTTCCTGAAGGGCAGCCTGGCACAGGGGAGACCAGGAGATGGGAGTCTGAATCCCAGCTTTGTGGCTCACTGCCTGGGGGCCTTGGCCAGGTCACACCTCCTACAGAGCCTCAGTGCCCTCTTCCATCAGACAGGGGTGGTAGTTTCTGCCTTGTCGGTTTAGATTAGGACTTAAAGGGTCACATACAAAGCTGAGTGGTTAGGAGCTTGGGCTCTGGAGCTGCTGACCCCCTCTGGGCGAGCCACTTCATCACTAAGTATCAGTGTTATCATCAGCAAATGGGGGAGACTAACGGTACTTACATGAGAGGGTGTGGGGGCTGAATGAAAGGGTGTGTGCACTCCCAGACAGCACCCTGCACCTGGCAGGGCTATCGACAGTGTTAGAACCTGGCACAGTGCCTGGTACACAGTGGGCACTCAGCAAATGGTGGCTGCCAAGGGGAGGTCAGGAAAGTCTAACACAAGGCCCCGAGAGCCACTTGAGCTCAAGGCCGTGATGGTTAACAGGGTCCAGAAAGTCACTGACTTGCGCTGGACAGTGTGGGAAGAGGGCTCAGCCACATATGATCTGACGTTTATTTATTATGGGGGTTGGAGGCAACATTCTTGGCCTATGAATTCAGTGTCTTCTCAAGCTCCCTCAGGGGACCTGTAGAGATTACATGGTATGTAAATAAGGCCCATGGTGCTCTGGCATTGAGCATTTTCTGTTCCCTGGGCTCCCTGCCTGGCACTGGTGGCCATTTTCAAAAATATACATAAACAGAACAAGATAAACACAGACTTTTCTTACACATAAGTTAACTACAAAGTAACAACAGTGATTTAGACAAACATCCTAGGTCTTCAAATATCCTGAGTGCTGTCCTGCCCATGAGTCGTCCTGAGGAGCCAGCCTTAAGATTTACAATGTTGTAACTGTACGTATGTCAGTTACAAAGAAAGAACCGAAGGCCACTCACAGACTGCATGTGGCAGACCTTCCAACCCGCTCCTAATGGGCTTTGGGGCCAAGCGCAGCAGGTAAGATGACACAGTCCCTGTCCCCGTGTCTTCAGGCCCCATCAAGGACCCGTCTGAGGCTGATGTGGGTGGCATATATGGGCAGACCCATCTGGCAGTGGGCTGACCACACATGTCACTGGTTCCTGTCCTTGTCATTTTTGACTCTGGCATGAAATGCAAGGGTCTAGCATGTGGCTTGCTCTGTCTTCAGGCACCCACAGGGCCCAGAAAACCTTGCTCCAGGATGCCCATGAGCACTGAGGCTATGCAGTCTGACAGAGAACGTGGCGGGCGACTTATTCTTTTGCCCCCTCTAGTGGTCTGTGAAGGCAGCGGCCCTAACCTGGTAACTTGTAAGCACTAACTTCAACCTCTCCCTTGCTGGATCCCACCCTGTCCTCTCTTTTTAAGTATCAGTCTTTGTTTGTTTTTAATTCATTAACCTTGGGGGGGGAGGGGGAGGAGAGAGAAACTTCGATCTGTTGTTCCACTCATCTTTATATTCTTTGGATGATTCTTGAACGTGCCCTGATCAGGGGATCAAAAACACAGCCTTGGTGTGTTGGGATGACGCTCTAACCAACTGAGCCACCTGGCCAAGGCTTTGTCCTGTTTCTCAATAGAAACAAAAGCTGTATGTGATTGCATGTGAAGTGACCTAATTGTCTTCACGTGTCCTCTAAGCAGGCCTGAAGTGGACTGTTTTCCTCAAGAACTCTAGACGAGTGAGTCCTGTTACGATCATACTTGTACAAGTCCCACATATGCTTGTACATGCGGACCGTGCAGCAGCTGGGCGTATAGCACACACGCCATGACTGTATTTTCATGACAACCAAGGTCTAGTCATTACTCATCAAGGGCATTTTTTGAAGTTTAAGCCTACATGTGCACACATACACACAGCCACAGGCTTGTCAAAGGCTGGGTTTTCTGGACACTGCAGGGAGGCTGGGCTGTAATTGGGCTTCCCTCAACCCCAAGGATGTGGCTTTGCTGGCCTGAGTTTGGCTCACAGATTGGGAGGGGTCGGTGCCTATAAACGGTGCCGTAAGTGGAAGAGCATCCTTCGGGAGTGGTGATGTGAGTACAAGAGGGGCAGTGGTGAAGCCAGGATTCAGCACCGTTCTCCATTCTGGCAGCACTGAGGGTGGAGGGGCTGGAGGGGCTGGAGGGCAGATGAAAGATGTGCTAAGATGTGCTGCCTCTCCTTGTGTGCCATGAAGCCACCTGAAGCCTCCTACTCTTGGCTAAAGACCTTGAGAACTCAGGGCAGGGGTGTGTGTGTGTGTGCATGTGTATGGTCTCTTCCCACTAACCTGCAGCCCACACAGCTGTACTGCCACTGAGCTCAATGTCCCCAAGTCTTCTCCCTTCTCACCTAGTTTCCTCCATTTGTGAACTGTTAAGGATCTACCTAGGGACAGGCATGGTGCTAGGCTGTGCAAGAGACTGGTGACCCTCTCTTAGCTAACTGCAGAACTAACGTAAAGGGAGAGGTCACTGTCACACCAGCTGCCACATACCGGGTGCTTTTTAAGTGTTAGGGAAGATACTAACCACTTGTGCATGCTATCTCATACATTCTTGCCTCAAGTTGGGGCCATTTTTGAGATGAGAAGACTGAGGTATGAAGACTGAGTGACAAGGGGTAGAGAAGGGATTCGAAACGAGATGTCTGACTTCACTGTCCATGAAGCAGTGATCTAATCACATCACACCTTGGCCCAAGAACAAGGAACTGGAGACAAATACTGAGTCTCCGCAGGGTTAGGAAGCATGAGTAGGGAAGCACTACAAGGATATCAAATGAGAAACCCCAAATGCTTTGTAAAAGCTTTTAGATACAGGAGGATTCTTGGAAAAAGTACTACTGAAAAAATCAAATCCAACTCTGTGACATTGTGGAAAAGGCGACACTATGGAGACAGTCAGGTCAGTGGTTGCCAGGGGTTCATGGGAAGGAGGGAAGAAAAGGGATGCACAGGGTATTTTTAGGATGGCCAAAGTGTTCTCTATGATACTATAATGGTGGATACACGTCACTACACGTTTGTCCAAACCCAGGAGTGAACCCTCTGGCTGACAGGCAATCTGTGCTGTGGCAGCAGGTGAAAAGGGCCTTTATAAGAGCACCATGACCCTGAGGCCAGGCCAGGGCTTCAGAACTTGTGCTCTTTGATGTTTGGTCCCAGACTCCCCAGTGGCATCATCTGGAAGCTTGTTAGAAATGCAGAATCTTGCCCGCCGGGAGTGGCTCAATGGCTGAGCATCAACCTAGGATCCAGGAGATCACAGTTTGATTCCTGGTCAGGGCACATGCCCGGGTTTTGGGCTTGGTCCCCAGCAGGGGGCGTGCAGGAGGCAGCCGATCAATGACTCTCTCACCATTGATGTTTCTATCTCTCTCCCTTCCTCTCTCTGAAATCAATAAAGATATATTAGGAAAAAAAAAGAAAAGAAAAAGAAATGCAGAATCTTGGGCCCTCCCTGGACCTACTGAATCACAGTCTGCTTTTCAACATCCCAGGTCATATTCGTGTTTGAGAAGCAGTGATTTAGAAGATTTTCAAAATGTGGGGATATGGTAATGATTGAAGGATAGTACATTCTAGCTATGAACTGTCTATGAAGTTACATGGAACATTAAAAAGAAAAAAAAAATGAAAAAGCCCAAATGAAGTACCCCCAAATTGGCAGTGGCTGTGTCTGGATGCTAAGGTTACAGGTGAAGCCTTGGCCGGTTTTTCTCAGTTGGAGCGTCGGCCTGTGGACTGAAGGGTCGTGGTTTCAATACTGGTCAAAGGCAGGCATCTCAGTTGCAGGCCCTGGAAGGGGCTCATGTAGGGGGCAACCAATCAATGCCTCTCTTATCAGTGTTTCTCTCTCTCTCTGAAAAAGCAATGGAAAAAATATTGTGTGAGGATTAAAAATATTAATAATAATAATAAATAAGTAAGGGTCTACATCTGGATCCACCGTCTCCCCTAGTGGGGAGGTCTGAAGGATCCGGGCAACCCGAGCCACTCAGTGGGAACCTGGGAGGCGGGAGAGCAGAGCACTTCATGCCCAAGCCAGGGCAGCGCAGAGTCTGGGGGCGGGGCTGGCAACGAACGCTGACACCCCAGGGTCCCGAGTGACTTTTCCGTCCCTCTCCTTTGGGAGACAGTGAAATTCTAGGGTGGGCAGCTGACTGAAGCACAACAAGCAGGGTGTGAAGGAGGGGCATTTGTGTGAGGAAAGACAGCCATCCTGAGGGTGTGCTGGGCATAGGACGGGGTGCTGGGAAGAGGTGCCTAATTCTGTGCACATAATTTTAAGCAGTTTCTCCAACAAGTCATCCAACATTTGGAAAAGCACTTCAGGCCCCGGAGGAAGCTATCCCAGGAGGTACTATGGATGCCTTAGCTAAAACTTCCTCAGGAAGAGATTCCAAAAGAACGGGTGTGAAGGAAGGAAGGGCTGGGGAGGAGTCAAGAAGCACCCTTGTTGGAGCTTCCCAAGTCTGCAATGACATCTGCCCAGGGCTTGGCAAAACAAGTAGGCTAGGCTCAGGTGACTGGGTCCAGCAGCCTCAGGGTCTTTCGGCGTGACCTGTGCGCGCTCTCTGGACAGTGGACAGAGGAAGGAGAGAGAACTTATAAGAGGCCCCCCGCCCCTCATTTTCTAGGCTTAACACAGGACTGTGGTACCCAGCCCTACATCACCAGGCCCCCTAGAATGCAGGTGGGGTGGTCTTGGGAGCTTTCAGCACCAGTGTGACCGCCGTTGGCAGGGACTGGGTTACTCTTGTTTACGTCTGCACCAGTTACCGCAGTTCCTGGCACATGGTTGGTGCTCAAGATGTGTCTGCTGAGGTTCCACTGGCTGAGGCTGAAGCTGTGGTGTTGGGCAGTGCCAGGAGGGAGCCTAAGACATCTTAAGCCTGCCCATCACCCTGGGGATGCCCAGGCGCTCCAGCCCTAAGCTCACATCAGAAGGCCACACCCTCACTCTCATAGCTGCTACGGGTCTCTGGGGGACAGATGGACAAGTAGGGACCTAGGGGCATCTAAATGGTCAGACAAGTGCCCCTCTGACTGACTGATCAGTGGGAGAGCTTTTGAAAAAACAACCACCAGTGATTCATCTCCCCACCCAAGCTCTTGTAAGCAGCCATGGTGCCCTAGTACCATGGATGGTCTAGTTTGGTAACATCCCCCAACCAACAGCAGTAGTTATCAGTGGCTCTGCCTGCCCAGTATCTATTTCCTTTGCCTCTGGTCAGAACAGCCTGATTTTCCTTCAGGTGATCCCTCCCAGCCCCAGCTCAATAGGCTACCTCCCCCCATTCCCCAACACACACTTTCTGCCACAGGACAGGCTGGAAGATGCGCATCTCTACCCGACCTAGCTAGGAAGAGTTGATCCTGAACTTCCAAATTCTAAGAAAGGGGCCCCCTCTTTCAGTCACTTGTTACCTAAAGGAGGGAGGGGTGGTGGTTCACTCTGGCAGATCCACATGTTCCCAGAGAAAACAGAAATCTGGATTTTCATGTGAAACTTTCTGAGTTCTAAATATCAACACCTGGCTTGGTAATTTAATCATGCTCTGCTCCAGGCACACAGGTCTGCAAGCAAACCTGTGAGACCACGGCCTTTGCATTTGATGTCTGCTCTGCCTGGACTGCTTTTCCAAATAACTGCATGGTTCATTCCTTACTCCCTCCAGGTCTTAGTCAGATGTCAGCTTCTCGTCGTGGCTCTCCCTAGCCCACCCTTTTAAAAACAAAACCCTCCCCAGACCCAGGCTTAGCACTCCCATCCTCTCTTTCGGATTTCTTTTTCTCCATTGCACTTAGCATCTAAAACAGGGATCAGGGAACTAGGCAAACCCAGCCTGCTGTGTTTTTGTGAATCAAGTTTTATCTGCACACAACTAAGCTCATTTGTTTATATACTGTCAAAGGCCACTTCAGTGCTACAATGACAGTTGAGTATTTGCAACAGAGACCAATGCCCTAAAAGCCTCAAATAAGTACTACCTGGTCCTTTAGAGAACTTTGCCAACCCTAATCTAAAATACCAGAACGTAGGCTCTAGGAAGGCAGGATTTTGTCAGTTTTTTTCACTGCCATATCCTCAGCACCAAGTAACAGCACCTGGTGTTTAAGGGACCCTAAATAAACAACTGCTGAATGAACACACAAGCAAGTCAAATGTATTAGCCTACGTCGTGCCCTTGGTATGCTGTGCTCTCAGCCCCTCCTCCTTCACCATGCATCCTTCCTGTCTCTGCTGGGAGGGTCCCGCTAATGTGATGACTTCCCTGCCCCTCTACTCCTCACCCTCAGGTACAATCAGTCCGTTTTTTCATGCGTCTCTTCTCTCAGCACTTCTCGTCCTACATGGAAATGATATGCCTACTTGTCCTATTCCACTAGACTAAGAGCTGCTTGGGGACAAGGAGTTCATCTTATCTGTGCCAGAGTCACGAATGCCTGGCACACTGTAGGGCTCACAAGCGACTGCTGACTGAATGAATTCAGGAATGAAGGAATGCATCAATGTCTGGAAATGCAGAGAACCATCTGGTATTTTGGGTCCTGCATTCTACTTCCTAAAGGTGGGAAAGAGAGACACGTGGCTCAGAGGTTCAATGGAGTCGCCTCTGCAAAGTGCTCTGAATTCCTGAGAGCTCTAGAAAAACCAAAACAGCTCCCCTTAGTGGCTACCTTGTTGTTCCCAAGACATCCATCTCCTGCATTAGCTATCCTGTGGCCCCAAGCATTTCCCCAAACCAACTGCCCTGCAGCAATCCCCTGCCAATTCATACCTCATACTCTATGGCGAGGTCTGTGTGGTCGTCAATATCCACCTTGGCCATCACCACCTTTCCATGCTGCTTGGCCACCACCTTCTCTAACCTTGGCCCCAGGATCTTGCAGGGACCACACCACCTCAGAAGGGAAGAAAGGAAGCATCCTGTCACAAAAGCACTCACCAACTGATCTATGGTCTCCCCAGAGCATGCCTTTGACGCACATCTTTCTGAGGGATGTTTGCCCTTATTACCTCTGTTTACAGTGTTTGAATATTAACCTGCAATGTTGACATGCCAAATGGTAATGCCAGGAGACTCTGCAAATGGGGAGTTCTCACAGGTCCCTCACTTCTAAAACACAGGCCTCATCCTAAGACTCTTATAAAAGTTATTTCACTTACTTCAACATATCTAAAAGAAAGGCATTGTGCCTGGCCGGGCGTGGCTCAGCAGTTGAGCGTCCACCTAGGATCCAGGCGATCAGGGTTCGATTCCTGGTCAGGACACATGCCCGGGTTGTGGGCTCGATCAATGACTCTCTCATCATTGATGTTTCTATCTCTCTTTCTCCCTCTCCTTTCCTCTCTCTGAAATCAATAAAGATATATTAAAAAAAATAAAAGAAATAAAAGAAATGCATTGTCATATAGAAAAATACAGGGGTTGAGGTTAAAAGGTTTGGATTCAGAGAGAAGCGCCTCACCAAGCAGCTGATCGTTCTGGGGTCCAGTTTCCTCATTTGAAAGAGAAATATGCCTCTCAGAGCTGTGATGAGAAATCGACTAAGGCATCGTGGATAACATGCTTTGTAAGCTGTAGAATTACTTGGAATACCTCAGGGACTCAGAACTAAAGGGAGGAGGAACCAATGGCTAAGGAGTGTCTAAACAGGCCAGTCACTGTGCCAGGGCCTTCTTGAATTTCGCTACACTGAACCCTCCACCCTGCAAAGGAAAAGAAAACTGAGAAATGGAGACCCACACAAGTTAAGAAACTTGTGCAAGGTCACAAAGCAAGTGAGCAGTACAGCTGGGATTGCAACCCAAGGTTGTGTTCCAAGTGTGTTCTTTTAGCCCTAGGCTACTCTGTGATTTCCCAGGCCCTGCGTCAGTGGCTATTGCTAAACACAGGTATTTCCCTCTAGGTGGTGAGCTTTTTTTTTTTAAAATCCTCACCTGAGGGTATTTTTTCCACTACTTTTCAGAGAGAGTGGAAGGGAGATAGAGAGAAACATGGATGTGAGAGAAACACATCAATTGGTTGCCTCCCACAGGCACCCCAAGTGGGGCGAGCCTGCAACCGAGGTACGTGCCCTTGGCTGGAATCGAACCTGGGACCTTTCAGTCCGCAGGCCAACCCTCTAACCACTGAGTCAAATTAGCTAGGGCTAGGTAGAGAGCTTTCAAGAACAGGCTGTCACCCCGAAGTATATGGCACTAAGGACAGTTCCTGGCACTGACTGAATAAATTCACACCCTGCATCATCCCAATTATCATTCATTTTGGAAACCCTCTCTGGAGTGCTCACTATACCAGGAAGCAGAACAGCTCTGCCTTCCATGAACCCCTGGCTGATGACTCCTATTTTATTTTCAGCCTTTAAAATCCTTTCCACTCAGAGATTTCAGTTAATGAAATTATAACACCTAAAAACCCAGTGTGCAAGAACCTTATCTCCTACTTCAAGTAAAGAAAGGGAAGCACAAGGACATCAAATGGCCTGCCAAGGGGGACATGGTGAGTCAGAGAAAGAACAGGAAAGAAAGCAAAAGAATCTGTCAGAGATCTGTGCAGAAAGCCTCCCAACTTGTAATTCAGGCTATACTGGCTCCTTCTAGAGTGTCTCATTCTGAGGGATTTGTCCAGTTATTTTGTAGCCAGGCCCCAAAGGTCTGGAAATGAAGAAGGCTATGCTAAAAGTTAGTAGGCCATAGGCATTTAAATATCCTGAAAACAAACTCATACAGCACTGAAGAGAAATTCCTGCCCATTTCCTGCACACTTGGGCACCACTGTGGTGGCTATGAAAACTTTTAGCCATCTCTTCCCAGTGTGGGTGGTAAGATGTTAAAATAAAATCAACTTATCGGCAGGGCCAAGAAGTGGTATACACCAAAAGCCAGGTGATGCTATAGTTATATTTTTCCTGCTTTGGTCCAAGCTGAAGATGACTGAGATATTCGGGCAGTGAGATACAGAACACAAATGTTTCCCAGAACTAATCACAGAAAGTTTTACAGACTGTTTACTGGTCTGTCTCCTACCAGACTACACTCAATCTTTGAGAGCACAGGTTGGATCTCCCCAGTATTTGTAGTGAGTCTATGCATGAGAAGCATCAAACATGGTACTGAGACATAGCTGGCACTCAAAAATATTTGAACAAGTGACACCCCAGTCTTCTCCTGGACCCCAGGACTCACTGTGCATGAAAATCCACAACCACTGGTGTCTCACTGTTGACAACTCGGTCTTGAAAGTCAGGTCCATCCTGGATGTTAAAGGTTGTTGTACAGGCTCTGGTGGTGTATAAAGACCGGGCTTGACTGGGTTTTACCGTCAGGTCACCAGGACTGCACTGTGGGGTCTGCAGAGCCCTGGAGGTGAGGGGTGCCCACCGACCTCGAGGGGGCTTCCTGGAGATGATAGAGGTCAGGAACCTCCTCAGGAGAAGTCGCTGAGCCATCTGTGAGGGGAAGAGGCAGTTAGAGCTGTGGCAGACAAGGGTAAGTCAACATTCCAGAGAAAGAAAGGTATTTGGGAGTACTAGGGGACTCAAGATTCAGGGCTGGAAGCAAAATGCCAGGACATACATAAGCTTTCTGGAGTAGAGGTGAGTGAAGGATGAGACTCAAAGAGAAGAAGGAACTGCAAACCAGGACAAGAAAACTGTGTTGACAACCAAAAAGAAATCAGGGTATCGGTGTTATTACAACAGAAGAGGGGCAGGAACCCATATTTACTAAGTACCTGCTAAGGACCAAGTGCCTCACGTGCATTACAGTCCTCCCATATCAGCTTTTGAGGAGAGTTTCTACATATAGTATTGCCCATATTACAGATAAGGGTCCGAGGCTGAGTTAAGCTGTAGCACGTCCAAAGTAACCCAACTATTACAGGACAGTCAACATTGGGACCCTAGGCCGTCTGCAAAGTCCTTACTCTATCAATTACTTTGTAAAAAGTGGTTTAATGGGAAATTAAGGAAAAGCGGGTGGTTGTAAAAGATCAGGAAAGAGAAACCACAACAATTCATGGAGGAGCTAAAAGGCACAGGAACAGGAGTGTGGGGTAACTAAAAAAGAAGGCACGCGTGTGCGGAGGGGACTGGGGAACTCGGGCGCCACCAGGGGCCCCAGCTCTCCGGAGGGCAGGTCCTCCGGCTGAGGCCTCCGCCCACTAGGCCGCCGGACCCCGCAGGAACGCGGCCGCGGCGTGCCTCGGCCGCGACGCCACCTCCAGCCACCCACACGGGCCTCCTACCTCCCTGCAGCGCGAGCGGAGGGATGCACAGCCCGTCCCTCCCGCCTGTCAAGGGCACTTCTGCCGTCACTTCCTTAGAGGCGGGCCTTGATCGTCACTTCCGGGGTCAGGCAACCAGGGGCCCGTCCCTCCACCACTGGAGGGTGTGGCTCGAATTTTCCGCCAATGGGAATGGCGGGGAAAGGCACCGCTAAAGGGGCGGAGCCTCAGTTAGGGACCGGAAAAGAGGGGCTCTGGAGACCCGGAAAGAGACCGGAAAAGGCAGGGCGGGCCCTTGGGGAGGGAACCGGAAAAGGCGGGAGCTCTTGGGGGGAGGAGGGAAGGGACCGGAAGAGTTGGGCGGGCCCAAGGGGAGGATCCGGAAGAGGAGGTGAGAGGAGGCGGGAACGCGAGCGAGGTATTATGAGGAGAAAAGGGAGGAAGGGACAGGTGATTCTGGAGTTTGCAAACTGGGTCTGCCTTAAGTTCAACCAGCGCCGCCTTATTCACTGTCTTCCCAAAACTCCTAGAGGTGCTAGAAGGTTCTTCCCGTCCATTTGACAAATGAGGGATGTGCTTCTATGGTAACGAGGATTGTTGTGAGCTGAGGGCAATTTTAGGTTCAGGCTCAAGAGAAACATCTGCCCCTCCCTTTAACTACCTAGAAGAATTTGAATAAGAGATTATCAGCGATAATTTTTTTTAGCAAACTTCTATTTACTAAACGTCTGTTCTTATCATTTTGCAAGACCCTCTGAAGCCCCCAAGGCACCTTACCTCATCCGTAGGTCAGAATGTCTTCTTTTAGTTTTTCACTGATTTCAGAGAGAGGAAGGAAGAGGGAGGGAGAGTCATTGATCGGCTGCCTCCTGCCTGCTCCCCACTGGGGATCGAGCCCGAAACCCAGACACCGGCCCTGACCGGGATCGAAGGGGGCCCTCCTGGTTCAGGGGTGCCAGCCGGCCGCGTGGTCAGTGTCTCCTGTACCCCTGTTCCCTTCCTGTCTCTGAACCCCTCCTGCAGGTGGGGATCTCTGACTCTCAGGTATGCGGGTTCTCGTACATATGTATGAAATTGGGTCATTTTATGTTGCTAATCTGTTTTATGTCTATTTGATTGTTAGACCAGCCGAAAGAACCTTAAGGGCAGAGGAAAGTTTGTTCCTCCCCCACAACCCCCATTGTCCCTATGAGGGTCTAGGCATCTGTGTGTCCCAGGCAGGGTCACAGCCACCTCTTGTCTCCCCTGGATCCTATACAACCGCTCGTGCCTCTGATCGCTCTGTGAATCCATTTTTAAAAAATTCTTGCCTGTGCTTAATTTGAAATGTTTTTTTCCTCTCTCCACTTGGTTGAACACCTAGACCACTCATCACCTCTCTGAGCAGAGAAATCTCCACCCTTTTCCGGAAGATCTTGAATATTCCTCCCCCTTAGTGAATACCCTATACCCCAGATTAAATAAATCTAGCTGAGGAAGCAAATTCCACGAAAGGGGGGGCTGCTCTATCTGTGGGGTCGCCCATTCTCTGTCTCATTGCTTCACTAATAAAATCACTTTCACTTTAAAGTCTATGCTGGCTTGCATTTGAATTCCTTCTTGCACAAAACCACAGTGGGTCGTGGATCCTCAGGCTCCTTGACCCTTAGAATGCTTTCATCATCTGCACTTTGCAGTTGCTATTCCCTATAACTGGGAGGCTTTTCCCTCTACTCTCCCTCCATCTGAGAAAATGCTTCCAGATACCAGATTAAGCGTCGTCTCTGGAGACCACACTCAGCACTCTGTTCTTACCGTCTGTTTCTTTATCCCTCACTCCTCACTGTACTGTTGGCTTCTGGGGTTCCGTCTGTCTCTCTGTTGCTTACCTCAGGACTCGGTGCATCACAGTAGGTACCCTGATTATTTGTTCAGAGAGCAGGGACTACATCAGATCTTCCCACCCCAAATGCCGTTTTCCCCACCACAGTACATGGTCCCATTTTGCCTTCCTAATTCATTGCCATGTGGGTTTTTTCCCAATTCATTTGCCCTCTGTCCAACTTGGCAGGTTCCCTCCCTCACTCCCCTGGTGGGTGGGGCCACAGCCACAGCTGGGCGGGACCTTCTTCTGGGATGGGGTGAGGGAACACTTGGTCTAGGTTCACATCTCCTGGCCCCCATGTCAGCCTTCTACTTAATAAAGCCCCCTGTTCATCGCAGGCAGGAGACGAGGTGAGGGCCTGGCAGGCATGGCCTTCTCCACCTTATCTGACCTCTTGCTTCTACCTCTGTCCCCACCTAGGACTGGAGCCAACAGTGGTGATCCACAGCGGGACCCCGAGTACTCCTGGCTCTCCTGAGGTCAGCATCCCTTGGTGCAGCTGTTCCTGCTAATGCCAGATGCCATCTGGCAGGGTGCTTCCACCCTGTCCATTTTCATTTCTGTTTTTCTGTGTCTCTAGCACTTTTTCTTCCACAGCCACCTATTAATGATTTCCACAGCATTTTCTGGAAGGCCAATTTCCTTGCTTAATTCACACTCCAAATCCAAAGGAGAACCAGTACTATTTAGTCTTATTCCATAGTCACTTTACCTCTGTTGGCCTCAGGCTTCTCATCTGAGAAATGGAAAGAAAGATGCCTTCTTCACAGGGCTGTGAGGTTGCAGGAAGATCAGAGTATGGGGCCTGGTGCATTGTCAGTGCCTGATGAATGATGAATGAATCTCCTTCCCTCCTGCAGATAAAAAGAGAGCCTGTGAGACACATGGAGAAGGTGACATTCACAGTAGGCCACAAAGGGGCTCCTCAACTATAGGGTTGCTTGTACGCCAAATCACAAGGCGGGTTCAGGGCACAGGTATGAGGGGAAGGGAAGGAAGCCAGGACTGGGAGCCTGAGCTAAAGCTTCTATTGCTACCTGTCTGGTATTTATTGCAGTGTTTTTCAGACTCTGACATGTGAGCTATCAGTGGGTTTATGGAATCAATTGAGTGGGTTGTGATCAGCTTTGAAAAGAGAAACAGAATTGAAAGTATCAGAGTATGCTGCATGTTATAAGTATTATTTTGTTCATGTTATTTCTATGTCTGTATGTCCTAGGTTGTGATATAGAATGTGTTTCTTACTGTGGGTCGTGGTCAAAGGGTTTGAAAGCTACTGATGGATTGAAAAGTTACCAAACACCTGACACTGTTCTAAGCACACATGTACTAACTCATTTAATCTTCTTTTTTTTTTTTAAATATATCTTTATTGATTTCAGAGAGAGGAAAGGAGAGGGAGAGAGAGAGATAGAAACATCAATGATGAGAGAGTCATTGATCGAGCCCGAAACCCGGGCATGTGCCCTGACCGGGAATCGAACCCCAATCACCTGGATCCTAGGTCGACGCTCAACCGCTGAGCCACGCCCAGCCGGGCTCATTTAATCTTTCAACCCTCTGAGGTTGGTGCTGTTACAGCCCCCAACTTACACATGGGGAAACCAAAGCACATAGGGTCCAGGGTCACCCAGATAGTAGGAGGTGGAAGCTTAAAGGTACTATATTGCCCCTAGCAGGGATCTGATTTAAGTCTAGACTGCCGCCTCTTTCCCACTTAGCCCCAGGGAGCAGCCAGCCAGTCTAGGCCGTGGGAGGGCAGCATGGGGCTCAAACATTGCAGCGGTTGGCAGGGCTGTCAGCAGTGGTTGTAAGCAGAGGCGACCACACGGTGGCAGTGTGGTTCTTTCAGCTGCTCCACGGCGGGCCGGGCAAGCCGGGCACATCCTTTGGGGCATAGGCTTCCTCAGGGCTGCAGGGCTGAGGGCAGGGCCTAGGGTGCTTCTCCCTGACGCCGTGTCTGAGGATTTCATGGCTGGAGGGAGACACCTTGAAAACCCAAAATGCAGAGAGAGGTGGAGGGCCACCCAGTCTAAGCTGATAGTGAGTTCCTCTCCAGGAGGTGGTAGAGTATTTTTGTTTTCAGTTTCCGTCTTGATGGTAATTTTTTTTTAAACACTGTTGCAGAACAACTGGAACTATGTTTTGTAATTCAAGAAGTTGGTTTCATGTTCTGTTGTGGTTCACATTCTGTCTTGTTTCCAGCAATTACCCAGTGTCCCCTCATTCCTTTCTGAACTTAAAAGACTTGGCACTGGAACAGTAACATAACCCTCAATTCATAGACTGGTGGCAGCTTCGTCCTGCGATGGTAGGTCTGGAGTGTCATGGCTGTGATGTGGGTGGGTGTATGCTGTCCCCCACGGCTGCCCACCCCACTGCGAGGCCAGTGCCCTCAGTGGACATATGCAGGCTGGGGCAGCAGAGTGTGGGGCTCATTCCAGGCCCTGCGCACTGTTGGAGTGAGGCTCCTCACGTGTTCCCGACTCTTCTGGGCCTGGCAGTGTCTACAGCTGTGCGAAGCTGGGGAAAGGAGGCACAGAAGGACTCTTCCTCTCTCCTGCCCTCGCCCTTTGGTTTGCTCCGCCCCATCCTGGAACAGGGGGCAGCTGTGGGTTAGAAAAATGAGCCTTGGGCCCAGAATTGCAATTACTTCTTCAACGGGCTCAGCCCTAAGGCACTGAGTACCCCCAGGCAAGTCGGTCAACCCTCTGGCATTGCTGCCCATCTGTATGAGGTCCTAACAATGCTTACTCTACAGAAAGGTCAGGAACTTTCCTAATAATGAAATAATAGCACATCTGTGGTCCTTACCACGTGCCTCACAGCTGTTCTAACACTTTTCCTGTTTCTCCTCACAGTAAGCAAAATGCTATTATTAGTCACATTTTACAAATGAAAGAAACTGAGGTCCTGAAAGGATAAATAACAGCCTAGACCATGAATCAAGCAAGCAAATGGTAGGGCT